AGAATACACTAGAATGATGATAGAACGAGTTAAGACTATGAGACCCTTCATCTATACAAACTTGTCAGACTACATAAAAATAAAAAACAGCTTTTATAAAGCTTTACAAGACTATTTTTCTGACAGCAGTACAACTAGTCTTTTCTTAACAATGGCTAATATTTTATCTTTAGTAATTGAAAGAGAAAAGATTTCTAACATTTGATGTCTACCGTGATGTGAATAATTTTATTGTAGATGAACTTCCATACTGTCACTGTTATCACCTAATATTTATTTCCTGCAACACTTTTATTCATAGGAAGTGAGGATGTAATTACAATGCCATCAGAAAAATTTTAATCATTTTCAGACTTTTAAAATATGAGCCTGTCTAACTGAACGGAACCAAAATGTAACAGAAAACTTTTCTTAAGACCAAACAGAACCAACCAACCTACACAAAGAGAATAGAACAGAACCAACATTAAATGGGAAAAAAGAAGAAGAAAAGAAACAGAGGATTAGAAACAGAATAGGAGAAAACGATTAGGTGGAGCTGCAAATAGAACAAACAGAACAGAACCTCTTTGGCAGGGCTGTGAATGGTGAGGAAAACATGGGCTACGAACAAAAAATGGAACTATGAACAAAAAATGGAAATATCAACTACTACGGAAACAAGCTGCAAACGGAGATGCAATGGTGGGTAGTGAACGGCAGTTAGGTGCAAACAGAAACACGATAACAACATGAAGTCAAACATGTGGACTCAGTGAAACTCGTAAGTCTAGTCCATGTCTACCAAGTTTATTCCGAGTTTATCTAAAATCGAGTTTACACTCCATTCGATTCATGGTCAAAGAGTAGTAGACTCGTAAACTCATTTAGGTCTAACTAAGGAGTTGATAACCATGATTTTGATCACATGACTTGATATGACTGTTTGTTCATTGTTTATAGTTTAGTTTAGATTGTGACTAAAAGTATATAGTAGTTTAAGGAGGTTATGTGGGAGCTCTTCCTAGACCAGAGATGGGTAGTGGATGCATTTAACTCATGGGTTTACGATTTGTAATTTTTTATTTTCGAGTAACATGAAAATTTAGTAGTTGACTTCTTTATGGATGACATCTTTTACAGACGGATGATCTGCAAGATCATATCATTATTTGTGGATTTGGACGAGTGGGCCAGGTGATCTTTTTTTTGGTATGGTTAATTAATTTACTGTTTATATAATTGATTTAGGTGTGTGACGATTTATCTTTTTATTATGTTTAGATCATTGCCCAACTTCTTTCTGAGCGTCTTATTCCGTTTGTCGCACTAGATGTAAGAAGGTAACACAACTTGCTCATTGAAATTATTATTCTTTTCGGGTGAATGAATGATTTGATATCTACATTATTACATGCATAATACTGCCTTGTCTCCTAGGAGAAAAGAAACCAAAATTATCAAAATAATATTTCTTTATGCACAGGTCACAAGTACCTTCGGCATACTATGTCTGTGATTGTGTTTTAATTTTTCACAGTAGTTGGTTCATGAGTGTAGTGTTTTATACTTAAATGGAGCAGCTATATTGTTAGTTCTAGTTCCACGTTTCTGGTAATTGGAGACTAGGATGACAGACAATCTTGGCATGCACATGAGTATGTGTCAGGCTGTGATCTATATATTGCATCGATATATTATAGGATATACCCAAAAGATTGGAGTACCCTCACGAAATTTTTCACATTTCTTTTCTCTTGACAGAATGTTCATATCTATATTATTTAATATGGTTTGCTTGAAGATGTGTGTAGTTTTGGATAGGATAAAGAGATGATGAACTGACTTGTTTTCCATATTTCTTAATATCTTCAGTGATAGAGTGGCAGTTGGGCGTGGTCTGGGTCTTCCCGTGTACTTTGGAGATGCTGGTAGTAGAGAGGTAGTGCACGTAACCTCAGCACACTAGTCGCATAACAGTTCTTACTTGATTTTATCTTTATTCTTTTCTGGGATGCATGGTTAGGTCTTACATAAGATTGGAGCTGAAAGGGCATGTGCTGCAGCAATAACACTTGATACACCCGGTGCAAATTATAGAACAGTCTGGGCTCTGAGCAAGTACTTCCCAAATGTGAAGACCTTTGTCCGTGCCCATGATGTTGATCATGGATTGAATTTAGAAAAGGCTGGAGCTACTGCTGTAATATTCTAAGACCTATTCTAGTATTTGTTTGATTACCTGGTGGTATTATTCCGTAGCAGTCTAGCATTTGGTAAACACGTTAAAACATATGAAGAATGGACTCGAGTTCTAATTAATGTTTGAATTGTTTGGAAACAGAACAAGATTAAAATCGATAAATTACGAATCTGCTAAAAAGGATGAAACAAAGAGAACAGAAAAGGCATTCTACCCTATCCTCTCTGCACTAAATGCTATCATTGGAAAAAAAGCTTTGTTGTTTGTTGTAGCAAAATTAAAAGAAAAACTTACCATTAGTGAATTGCTTACTCTAGAGAACTTTCTTCCACATGCAGGTCGTCCCAGAGACCTTGGAACCAAGTCTTCAACTAGCAGCTGCTGTACTTTCTCAGGTAACAATTTTCCTTGAATATCATTTTCTTTGGAACAAAAATATTGATTTTCTTAGAAATCGGTTTGAACATATTTTTGTTCTTTTACATTGTCTTCACATCTTGTTGGCAGAACTAGCAGTTCTGTTAATAAAACTGTAAAAATGAAAATAAATAAATAAAATGAAAATGTCATATGATGTTTTATTTGGCGTTATTGGAGTAACATATTCAAAGAAAATATTTTTATTATATTTATTACAAATTGATGAAAATTATGACAAAATGATGAGTGATCTTCAATTTCAAAACATTTTTTATTTAGGCCAAACTCCCCACAACGGAGATTGCAGCAACTATAAATGAATTCAGATCTCGACATCTGGCTGAGCTCACAGAGGTAATGTTCCTTTAGAATTCATGCATGATCATGCACTGCCTATATCAATCCTGTATAGTAAATGTCTGAATGGTCGTTGTTCTTGCTCTATCTGTGCAGCTGTGTGAAGCGAGTGGAAGTTCTCTTGGTTATGGATTTAATAAAGTTATGAGCAAATCAAAATCTCAATCCACAGATTCATTGGATGAGACCCCAGTTTCTGAAGGCACACTGGCAATGTGAAGATTGTCGATTATATACAAAAGTAGATGGCATGGCAGAAGAGGACGACAGTTAGGAAAAAAAAAATAACCATCAAAAGATGTATAGCAGATTATTAGTTCCATTGTTATGTACAGATATAGCTGAGATGCTGTAGTTTTATTTTCTCTTTCCCCAAAAAAAATTTTGGTTCAGACATCTCAAATTTCTATTACAGGGTGATAGATACCCTTTTACTGTAGTTATTATATAATGCACCATTGGCATTGTTTTCATTTGCCTTTGGCTTTAGAAAAAACTTTGCGCTTCCCATGCTTAATATATGCGAATGCCCTGGATAAGTGGGGCAACTCCTGCAGGTATATAATTGTTTTTATTTATTTATTTTGCATTATTGTTATATTGAAAAGTTGTTACTTGTATATTTTTACACTAACATATGTTAACCCCGAACCTCCTTTCTTTTTTATTTTTTCAGCTACAGCCCGCATAGCCACAAGGCCAAAGTTGAGAAATTATTTTATCGCTTGCGATGTGTTTGAATGACTTGATTTAATGGATGTGTTAAAATGGAATAACAAGAAGGGTCAAAAGTGAACAAAATGATGTTATAATTCATTTTATTTGCATGCACTAACAATGTTGCAAATTTGTTAAGTACTTGGATTTTTCAAGGATATTTACTGCCATTTGTTTTAACCATTTCTAGAATAAAAACTTTCTAACCAGATGTACTTAGCTCAGAAGAGATTTGACTATTGGTTAAGAATATTCTTAACTTGGTTTCCTTAGATTTTGGAAGGGTGGATTTGCTGGGACAGACTGACTAAAGCAGTATGTCTTGGTGTTTCTTTGGTTTGGCATTTAAAGGATTGTTTGATTTTCATAATAATTGTTTAACAGTTATATTTTAAACAATTTTGTTTTAGCGTGTATGGTAAGAGAATTACACAGGCACATACCAAAAACATATTCTATTTATTTTTTAATTATTATTAATTTATGTTTCATTATTCTACAGCGTTAATGCAATGCTTTATAGAACAAGATTTTCTGAAATGGACAAGATTCATCTACCTTAAAAAAATACATTTGTATAACTATCTATTTTTTATTATCACTTATAAAAAACTATAAATATATTTTTAGTCTCTTAAATTTGGAATAAACGTAATTTGTTCTTTAATGCTTTCTAATCTTCATAATTTCAAGAAGAGGAGTGTACCTCTTATTTCTGTCAGTTTCTTTCCTAGTGGTTAGAATTTATCAAATCACAACTTGTTTAATCCATTTAAAAATCAAGAAAAAAAATAGTTAGTGAGAAGCAGAATTACGAAAATTATGATTTCTAATCAATTTTAGCTAGCAATAGAAAAAATATTGGAAAAAGTATTATGAGAAAGAGTGAGTTAAGACTCCAATTTAAAGAAAACATTTTTAGTTTTCAACTACTGTCTTAAGTGAGTATTGAACTATAAATTTTGCTTTTTGATTATCCATAATGTTTGTCAACCTATTTTGGTTCTCCTTGTTCATTTTATCAACATTTAAGTAGAAGTCATTTAGATTGAATGAAAAAAAAAAAGTGATAGTCTTTTAGACAAAAGGATAAAAAAAATAAATAATTGAAAGTACTAAAACCATACGCAAGATTAACCGGTTAGTTATACAATTTTCTCAGTTTACCTTACACTACATATTCTTAGTAGATTCAAATTTGAAAGTGCACCAGAAAAAGTCGTATACTCACAAACTCTCTTCTTCCTTATTCACACTACTTCACTTTACCTTCTCCATCTTGAACTCACGAACACAAAATAGTGTCCTAATCTCTGCGCGTACAATGACTTCCGAAACCATGGACACTCATGAAGCTGAACCAAAGTCGGAAGTAGAGAAGTTGGAGTCTGATTTGAAGCAAATGGCGCAGAAGATTCTCGAATACCGAACAACGCTTCCGGATCAGCTCAGCTCCGCACTCCGTTCGATTCTCGATGCCCACAGACCCTATCTCCCATCGGGTACCTCTCTTTCTAGGGCTTTTCTTTTCGTGCCTCTAAATTTGGGAAAGTTATTGAATTTTATGCTATGCTTTTGGTGTGGACTAAACCCATGTGTTCCTTTTGAATTATTTTATGCTCCTCGGGATATATAGTGTTGATTAGTTTCTGTAGTTTTAGTTAGTTTATTCAATTTGTGTGATTTTCGGGATTTAGGGATTTAGTTAGTTTATTTTCGGAATTAGTGTATCTAAGTACTAGTACTTGGTAAAGCAATGTGCTTAGATGAATGTGAAATATAGCTCATTTGGTTTATTAGATGCTTGAAATTTCTTGTTTGGTTTTGATGGAAGGAAAACTCAAATTTTTGGCTGATTTTGGTCATCTGTGTTTTGGTAAAGTCATGGTTTGCGATGTAAAAGTAAGTTGTGCATTATACAATGAAACTAGCTGCTTATTAACTGGGGATGCTATAATTTGCTTAGAACTGAACAGGAAAACATTAAGATAATGACTTCGCAATTATTACTTGGATTGGATGATCTATTAGCAATAAAGAGAAATTGTCATCATTTGAATGTTATGTATAAAAAATAAATTTGTTTGAATCATTTTTTATTTTTCTAAAATTAATCTTTCTTTTCTGTCAGCATCAGCTTGTCTGAGTAATATATTCTTTGCCTGACAAGTTTTTGAGTAATGAGATATAAGTTTGGAATTTTCTGCGGGCAGAAACAAATTCTGTTTTCCAAATATTTAGAGAATTCGCCATTGATAGATGATATTTTGTTAAATTGAGCATAAAGCTTCTTTTGTATTTTCTTAGTTGACAGTGTCTTTTTAATTTTTCCTTCTTTGTTTTCTTGACTTATATCTAGCAGTTGTTTTTCTATGGGTATTGAATGACTATATGCCATTACTGTGACTCTATTGGTTTCAGACTTTCAGCTATGATCCTTGTACTTTGGTGGTTAAGACTTCTTCTCTATATGTTATTTATTTCTTTATCTCTTTCACGGTGTAATATGTTTTCTTCCTATCTTTTTGTGACGGTGTATTTGACTTGTTGACCGGTTTTATATTGTATAGGTGCATCAGAACAAAACATGTCTAGAGAAGAAACTTCATCTGCTTCAGAAGACCCTGAGACTGCCAAGAAACTAAAATTGCTTAATGAAAAGATCTCAAGCAATTGCTCTGTTATGCCAATTGTTTTGAAAAGGATGAAAGATTGCATTGCCAGAATTGAGAAGTTTGATTCATGCAATGATGCTATGATTCATCCGGCCTTCAAAAGGAAGAAAACTGGATAGCCAAGATGTATCATACATTAGTTATTTATTGACCAACTTGGATTTGTTCAATGAAGCCACCTCTTCACATTTTCCTTATGCTGCAAGTGGGAAGAAAGCTTCTATTCTGATGTATAATGTATTACATTGTTTGGTCCTTTGTGGTAATATTTTGAAAAGCATCCCCTGCCAGTTGGACAGGGAGTGAGACAGTGAGGGAAAAGACAGGATATTGTATAGTCCTTTCCTTTGTATTAGCTTCATATCATTAATTGTATGTAAGCATTTACATTTGTTTAACTTGTGTTGGCTTGAGGCATGAGCACATCTTATGTAACATATTTCTTGCGATGAACGTACTCTTTGTCTTATTGTAAGCTTGATCATTTGAATAGTTAGCCGCCTCAAATATACCCAACAACTTCGGTGATCATTGCTGTGGTGGACACTTTTATTGGCTTGATTTTTTTTTCTTTGACTTATTTTTTTGTTATGGTAAATCATAATTAGTTTAATTAATCCTTTGATTTAAGACACAGGCTACGGCAGTAAGGGAGGTGTGTGGTCTATGATGAGGAAACATTTAGCTGGTAGATATTTTAATTAAATATTTAATGTTTAAGACTGTTTACATGGGAAAGAAGGTTTCAGTTTTTATTTTATTTTTTAGTTATTTTGAGTATTACTCTCCTAAACCTCTCTCACCAAATCTCTCTAACCCTTCCCACACCATCATGGTTGAAGCTTCCATGTTCTCTCCATCGGCAAAATATAGAAAATCATACAAGAGTACATGTTTGAGGAAGGTGATTAATACCATAAACTTTTAAGTGCCACTTTAGGCTAAAAGGAACGGCTCAAGGATGGTTTGTTTAGGTAATGTGTTAGCAAAAACAATGATGGGTACTAATTGAGTGTTGAAGAGAAATCTTTGGTCGATGATATGACCAAGAAGGCTAGGAAACATATTACTTGCATTGAAAGATCGTAAGGTGCGTAATGTCATTACTATGACACATTTATAATGCAGAAGAAGCTTATCTACTCTCTCAAAAAAGTTTTAGGACGAAAAATTTCAAACCCTGTTGAACTTATTACGAAATAGACGGGTTTTGGTGTTTTCTAAATATGTATTCTAGACATATCCGAACACCATTAAACTTTTGGGAGCTCTCCACACTCTCTTGCTCTTTGATAGTACTTATAAAATCAACATTTCTTGATTGTGGCAAATTCAGATTGTTGATGTTACTTCAATAAAGTTCACATTCTTTATAACATTTTCTTATGTGGAATTTGAATGAGTCGACAACTTCACTTGGACATTAACTTTGAAGGTTCATTCCTCAATACCTTGTATGGTTAATCTCGTGTCTAACATCCATTACAAAAAGAAATCATCTTCAATATCTCCTACAGATAATACTAAGAAAATTGGAGTGCAATTTGAACAAGATATGATTTCTTTTATACCAAGATATCTTGTAGTTGGAAGCTATAGTTTGAGGAACAAAGATTTGTTTAAGGAGCTCATATATATTCCAATAGAATCTCTTTAATAATTATGAACTTATAAATTGAATTTCCAACTACATGAAATTTTATTATTTGTAGACATTTTCATGTTGGTGTAAATGGACCTAAGAGTGAGTTTTAATCTTGTATATAAAAAGAATGTAGTTAAAAAAATCGTATTAAAAATTATCAACTATGTTATTTTGTTAGAAATTAATTATTCATAAATAAATAAATTGAAATAAGTAAATTTGCAGTAAAAAAAAATGACAAATTAAAATAATCTCCTACAAAATTTCAGTTATAATATTGTGTAAGTTCTCTCATAACGCTCGTTAACTATAATTGTGATAGAAAAGGACATTTAAAATCAATAAATTGTGTCTATTTTTTCCCTTTAATTTATATATAATAAAATACTTTTAGGTTTGGATATTGTAAATTGATCGATTTGCTTCAGACAATAAAGCAAATAACTTTTAAAAAAATAGAGCTTTGTGATTCTATCCAATTCCCACGTCATGATTTTATCTTCGATAAAAAACTATTTATAATCTAATCATTCATATATTAAAATATTTGTAATCTAATCATGCATACCGTATCATTAATATTGTTATTTTAAATTGTTAATTTAAAAAAAATTAATAACCATAATTTTTTATTGATTAACGTGACGCAACTCGATTTCTCATCAAATAATTATTTAAATAAAATATAATTAAATTTATTTCAGTTTTAATATAACATATAATCAAAAACAAACAAAATTGATATTTACGGTTCAGTTTGAATTAATTCTGTATCTTTTATTATTATTATTATTATTAAAATTTTAAATAGTTAAAAAAAATTAGAAAATATTTTCTTAAAATAATTATTAAACATTTTATAATAAAAATGTATTATAAAATTTATAAGATTGTAATTATAATAATAGTAGTAATTTTAATATCTTTTAAATATATAAACTAATTATATATTTTTATAATTAAAATTACATTTAAAATTGTTATTATACTTTTAATAGATATAAATATATTATAAATAAAATATAACCAATATTTAAATATAATTATTACGAGATATAATTATGTACGTTTATTCATTGATAATTATTTTTAAATATATAATATTACATTTAAATAAAATAAACAGTTTAATTTAATTTTAAATTGTATGAAAAAAATAGATTCATAAAACTTAATAAAACTTTGATTTGGATTGATTTTCCATATTTTTATACCCTTTTACTGGTATTATGCCCAATTAAATTAAAGTCTTAAAAATACATAGAATCTGCCTCTGAGAACACCCCAAAGTAAAGTTTCACTAGGGAGTTTCGTAGCGTCGTCGTCGTTGTCTTTGTCCAAACCAAAACACAGAAGAGAACACAACAAAGAACAACACAACACAACGTATTGTTTGCTGAATCGTTGTTTGAGGAATCACCGAATCACAATGGCTTCTTCGGTGTTCTTCACTCATTCCCATTGCTACTCTTCTTCTCATTCTTCTTCTCTCGTTTTTCGCATCCACCGTCATCTGGGTGTGGGTCCCACCTCTCTCCGATTCTCATCCTCCCATGTTCCCTCCGTTGGTATGATAAAGCTCTCACTTTTTTTTTTCTTTTTTCATTTTTGTCTTTGCCCACCTTCTATCAATTTTTTTGGCTTCTGGGATTAACTGGGTTCTCTCCCTCTTATTTTAATCCAAAAAAGATGCCATTTTGCTTGTGGGTCTTGTGCAAAAGTATCAAAATTTGTTTTTGTTTGAGATTTTGTTTTCTCGGTGGACTTGGAATTATGAGCGAAGGGGTTTTGTACCGAGTTTACCATTCACTGCAAAATCATTGTTCAGTCATTTTTCTGCTTATTTGTGGTGCTTTAATATTGGTGTTTGTGCATGTATTTAGCTGCATCTGCTCACGCCTGATCACGTTGATTGAATTTTCAGTTTGTGCTTGTTGGTGTTTCGCTATTCATGTATTTACTTTTATTGTTGGTATGGAACTCAGATATAGTTCCTTGGTTGATTTAAGAAGTTTTTTTTTCCGAAATTGCCTGATGATCAGATTTAAGATGATGGTTTGTTCTTTGGAGAATTTGGGGGGTCTTAGTATTTTGGATCAGGGTATTAGACATAGGGTGCATTGGTGAGAGCTATGATACAAGTATTTGGGAGAATTTAACAAAATAACTTATGATATGTCAATAAACTGTTTTCAACTTATTTCAATGAAAACAACTTATGAAATCAGTTTAAGAATATTTCTTTTTTTATTACAGAAACAACTTATTCATAAGTGATTACATGATAGTTGCTTATTCAATAATCGCATAATTGGGCTGTTTAACCATATAAATCCTAAGTTGTGCAATTATTTGATTTTTTAATTGTTCAGTTCTCTTAATTAGCCTACTCTTGTTATTACTTGTAAATTTAACACTGTTGGTTCTTATGTTACCTTGTACACATGTTTTTCAGTGCTATATATGTACATGTATTCCCTTACATGCACATGTCAATTTGTCGTTCTTCTGTTTGCTTTTGACCAAATAAGGTTTCGCTAACCAGTTTCATTGCCTCCATCTGAATTATGTACAGCTGCTATGGTAACAGATTCTTCTGCTAAGGTGATTGATGGAAAATCTGTAGCAAAGCAAATCAGAGATGAGATAACGGCTGAGGTCTCCAGGATGAGAGAAGCTACAGGTGTGATTCCTGGGTTAGCTGTAATACTTGTTGGAGATAGGAAGGACTCTGCAACTTATGTGCGTAACAAGAAGAAGGCTTGTGAATCTGTTGGAATCAATTCATTGGAAGCTAATCTGCCTGAGGATTCCACAGAAGAGGAAGTTTTGAACTTTATTTCACGCTACAACGATGATCCTTCGGTTCATGGCATCCTAGTTCAGTTGCCCTTGCCTTCGGTATGTTTCAAAATCTCTTAATTTTCTTGTATTGGGTTTACTATGCCAAATTATGTCTTTAATCTCTTTTCCTATATAGTGGAAATAAGTCAAGCGTTTCAGACATGTAAGTTTAATGAATTTTCCTTTGCCTTGTGACAGCATATGAATGAACAAAGCATCTTGAATGCTGTTAGAATAGAGAAGGATGTAGATGGTTTTCATCCATTAAATATTGGCCGTCTTGCCATGCGAGGAAGAGACCCTCTATTTGTTCCCTGTACACCAAAGGGATGCATAGAGCTACTGCACAGATACAATGTTTCTATCAAAGGAAAGAGGGCTGTGGTGATTGGTCGAAGCAATATTGTCGGAATGCCAGCTGCTCTATTGCTGCAAGTAATACCCATTCAACCAAGCTTCAACTTTGAAACAGTCCAAAACTATTTTTTATTTCAGTGTTTTCTGTTTGTTCCTTTCATATTTCACTTCAAACAATTGTGATTCTACTTCATTGTATGTATCTTATGTTACTAGAGAGAAGATGCTACTGTCAGTGTTGTCCATTCCAGAACAAGTAACCCTGAAGAGATCACAAGACAGGCAGATATTATCATTTCTGCTGTTGGGCAACCAAACATGGTGAGGGGAAGCTGGATAAAGCCTGGTGCAGTCATCATTGACGTCGGAATCAACCCAGTAGAGGTGAGTAAATTTATATCAAGGTCATGTTTATAGTATACCACCAGGGTCCTACCTTGATTGGTACTGTATTTGAGGTATAAATTTCATATTCAATTTATCTATTTCAATACCAACATTATTTAACCAATGCATGTGTGGGTCTCTTTGACAGGATCCAAATAGCCCCCGAGGTTATAAACTGGTGGGAGATGTTTGTTATGAAGAAGCCATAAAAGTTGCCTTTGCTGTTACACCAGTCCCTGGAGGAGTTGGTCCAATGACCATAGCAATGCTTCTCCAAAACACACTCATCTCTGCAAAGAGGGTGCATAATTTTGAATGACATTGTGAAAGGGTGTTTACCATCGTGAGCCATCAATTTTTGTTTAGGGACTCTTGTATTTTAAGGTAGCATTTTTCAACATTTGGGAAGAGGGGTTTGAGATTTTTTCTTAAGCCAAAATAAGAGAAAATGTTGCTTAGGATGACAGTGTAAAACATCTCCTTCCATATAAAAATTGTGTAGCAGATCGGTGGCTACAAAATAAAAACTGAGTGGGAAAACATACGGCAATGAATGCATTATTAATCTTTAGTCATACATAAGATACAAAAACATTGTGGAGGGCATTAAAGACTAAAGTCAGGTGCATTTTGCTTGAAATCCCATGTGGTTTTGGAACCACTTATTATATATAACTTACGCTATCGTCGACGCACATGAAGGTTGGAACTATATACTAGTAGTGGTAAGCAAGTTGAATCAGAACCAGATAAATACCAAAATGTTCTCCAATGACTGCCTCAATGTTGATTCGGCTAAAGTTTATTTTTTTATCTATGAAAAATTAAACACATGTTAAGTGGTTTACAACTAGCTAAACTTTTGAAAGACATGATTTTGCTTTTAGCATGTTTGGAGTGATTATTTTAACCTTTTTTCATTAACGTTAATACCCTTTAATGAGAATGCCAATTGGTGATATGATCGTTGAGTAGTCTCAAAATATCAAATTTTACCAAATGAAAACTTGTTATTAAAACAAAAATGTGAACTGACAATAACAATACAAAGGGTTATAATTGCAGCCTGAGGTCCAATGAAGAACATGTATGAGTACACTTCCTCCGCAATTCTCAATAGCAAAACGGTGCCGCAAAATTCTTTACTTTTCTAGGAACAGAGATTTACACTGCTTCACAGTATCATCTGGACTAGTAACTGAAAATAAAAAATACAAGTAATAAGGATTAATCTTAGCTTTAGTCAGTTCAATTAAGAAAAAAAATGCTAAAATTGTGAAAAAAGTTATTATCATAATTATTGAGATTTATAAAAAACTGTACTTACAATTTCTTGAGCAATAAGTTACTACTTTAGATTATTATTCGCTTATAAATCTTGTGTAAAGAATTCAAGAAATTGAGAAGTGTTATTTTTTAGCTAAAGAAAAAGTTTTTTAAGTAAAAATAGTCTGAAAAATATTGGGTCTTAATTTTAAAGGAAATCGAAATTGAACTGTTTTCCATACCACTGAAAAAATTATATTCCTTGCACGAATGGCAACACAAATTAAAAGTACTAACCTGTGTGTCCAATAGTCCGTTCAGATTCATAGATTTCATGGTCATTTCCACCCTGCACAGCGAAAATAAAATAATTATAGGAAATTAATCAATCCTTCTGCCTAATTACCCTAACAGTGCTCATGGAAGCTAGATATCTACCACTGGAAACAAGTGCAGGGTCACCTAAAAAGGTGTTATAATAAGAGATATCTATCAGTAACCATAAAATCTAAAAGCATTCCATTTTGCTGAATGGTTTGAAATATTCAAAACGTGGAAAAAAGGACTCATGTTACCATGTCAGTATGCATAAAACAGAATTACATTGCCAATGACTTGCTTATTACAAAAACTTTTGCCCCAACTAACTTGTAGGATTTTCATAAAAATAAGTGACATTGTCCACTCAGACAAATGTAAGTGCTTATAATGAGCTAGCATATGTATGCATGGAGGTAGAGAATATGTAGGATGTTGATTTGATACTCTAAACCATGTAGAGAATGATGAACTTAAGGACTAACCTTGTAAGTTTTGTCACCAAAGAAGTGGATCTCATTGAAGCCATCAAGGTATCTTAGGCAGTATGTTTTGTCCCAACCTTGAGGGAACACCTGTGGAGTATATTTAAATTAACCAAAGTTCACCTATCACTTTACCAAAAATAAAATCACCATATCATATCATGAGGATCATTACTTACATCAAAACTTATCTGTCCTCCAATGGAAAATGTTAAGTTGAAATGAGCAAACTTCTCGCGAAGTACAGAGACCATTTTTGGGCGTATATTATGAACCTGAGAGCTTAAATTGCAAAGTTTTAGGATAAAACTATTCACCTAACATTTCAATATGGATATTCTTGTGAATATAATAAAAACCAAAATACATAACCTTGTCATATCTCTCAAATTCATCTCTTTCTTCTTGGCTACAGTTTCGGCCAATAGGTGACACATTCAGCATCCCACTACGGAACTCTAAAAATGTGCCCCTACAGATATTGTTATATCAATTAGAATCTAACAGGTTCGTATAACTAATCTGAAAAATATTTATTAACCTCTGAATCTCACTAACCTCTTAATAGGGATATCCAAATCAGCAATATAATGAAGCGTAAAGTTAATAATCTCCTGCAAAATATCACCCATTCTGTCATCATTAAAACGAATTTATCAAAATAAAATGCATTTTTATTTGCTCACATGTCACAACTTATGTAATTTAAAAACAGTCAACAAAAGTACAGTCTCCTTTATTCACGTCTTCTGAGCTTACATGAAATGAACTTACAGACAAACTTGATTTTTTTTAATCATTTTTGGTTATGATATGCATAAAATGGCCAGGGATAAGAATATGTAAAGAGTAATAATCCCAAACAATTTTTGGATGTAGTCAATATGGTCAATCTCAAAAGTTTTGGATGATGAAATTGATTAGGATTTGGGAACAGAAATAAGGCCGTACCTTGAGCTTTTCTTCCCCAAGGAATGACTTCAAGCTCTGAAAAGAGGGAAATTCACCAATTGTCACGGTGTATTAAAGAGAAAAAAACATTGGTAAAGAAGAGTGACTGAGTGTGTGTGTGCGTGTAGGGGGATAGGTTGCACTAATGAAAAAATTTACCAGCTCAAGTTTCAATAGGTCTTAATGGCTATATTTTACTTTTCAGGTCACAACATAGTGCCACTAGTTATGTTCTCTGATATATCTCATAGGATCAGCATAAATCTATTAAGATACATCCATGGCAATCTCATGACAATTTGCTTCTTTCAGTGATTCAGGTTTATGTGTTGTACCTGAGTTCCAAGGAGCATTCCTTCCTTGTGAGCCACAAGACCATTCTCAGAAAATACATAATCATAGTCATTGGTAACTGCAACAGACAAATATTCAAAAGATAAACCCTCCTGTTTCTTTCTTTATTTCATTACTTTATCTTAATAGCTAATCTACAGAGTAGAGAATGTATGTTTTTTCAAAATTAGGAGAAACGAAGAGGAAGCAGGATAATGTAACAATGATTATAAGTTTACATAAGCACACGTAATTTTGGACATCAGCACCCAACAAGAATATGAAAAGGATACATATGATGGGTTAAGGAATGAAAGAAACACTAAAAATCAATTTCTTCAACGTGGCTTCCTACTTGTTTTAGCATTTCAGTGTCATAAATCTATAGCCAACCTGTGTTCCCAAGTTGTTCTGATATCTTTATAAGGTCAGAACCCCCTACAACTCCAACCGTTACAACCTGTACCCATACAACACAAAATTCAACAACAAAAAGAACAGAATATCAGCACAGATTTATGCGTGGCCAAGTAGTTGTTTGAACTAAAACACCAAGAAATGAAATACACTTTATGTTCAAAAAAATTCTAAATCACTCACCTTTCGTAGTTCTTGCATGAAAGTTAACATCTCTGGAGTGGCCACCTTGCATTCAAGTACGAAAGAATTAGTAGAGGTGATGCAAAGCTAAACAGCCAAGGGGAACAGCAGCATTTGATAATTAATGAAATTATGAAAAACCTCAGGTGCACACAGATAACAGATCTGTCTTACAACTGTATCAAATTGCAGCAAGGATATATTTTTCAGCTACTATGTAATCAAATTGCAGAAAATTGAAAATAATTGTGGCTGTTGGAGCCACAATTGGGACCACGGAAACCCAAAAAATTGAAGTTGCGGCCAAAATTACAGCCAAGGATTGTTTTTTAAAACGTAACAAAATAACCACAAACATGGTCATGTAGTGTCATTAGCTCTAGAAGAAACAGATACCTTCCTGGGAGCTGTAAGAGTCCCATCAACGTCAAACAAAGCAATTAAACCAGGTGTCCGGGCAGCCATTATAGCTCACTCTTATCCTCAAAAGCCTGTAAAATTTTAAACCATTATCTTATCAAATTTCAAACATATACAACTTCAAAACTGCAAATAAGCTATTTTTCTTCAATTCCCAGAAGGCACACAAAATTACAGAACAACTACATACTTCATACAAATAAAATAAAAAATTGAGACGCTTCAGTAAACATCATAGAAAATTAAATAACACCCTTCAGCAAATACATCATCCAAGTTGTTTTGCAAAGCTTATTTATTAGAAGAAATAAACAGAAGTGGGAAAAAGTGAGATTTTTGTAATTGAAGCTGATGCAAATGCAGGATTGGAATTGAAAGGTGAGAACTTGCCTGAGAGAGGGTGGGGAAGTGGAAGAAGGGACAGAGTTTGATGCAGATCTCCAGAGGGGTTTATAAGCATTGGTTGAGATCTGCGAGGGGAATGGACAGAGGAAAGGAAGCTCTGTGTGGGACCCAACAAGTTGGAGACACATGTGCCTCGTAACATTAAAACTTTTCGAAGTGAAGCTTCAACGACAAATTCATCAATAACGTACATGTAAAAAAAAAACTCATCAATCAAGTCGATGCTGATTACTCTCTGTCACGAATTGTGTGTTAATCAATCCTCGGTCTTTTTTAAGATCACTGTTAATTTTTAGTTTTAAGGGGGGAAAAAAAAAATCTATGTCCAAATTGGTCGATCTTTTCATCCATGTATCAGCAATGATAGAACTGCTTAGCTAACTCAAATTGGGATTCAAATTTTATTTTCTAGGTCTGTATGGTAAAAAAGAAATGGTTAGACAAGTGATGGATTTTAAGGATTTGTTTCAAGATTTGGGTGTTGTGTTGTTTTTCTCCCATCAGGATTATGTTTTTGTTTTAGCCAATTTCATAATAAACATTGATATTAGAGATCAATAAAGAATATAAAATAAAACTCAAAATTTATATGAGAAAAAAATAATAGGTAAGAAATTTACAATAAGACGTATGAAAATCTGTTCTGGAAAAGAGTTTGGAAGATTTTAATAACCATTGAGAATGGCAAAAAAAATGAAAACAAGAGAGAAAAGAGCTTTTGTTTTTTTAATTCACATTAATCTATTTGGCAAATAATTAAAGTTGTTTGGCAAATAATTAAGGTTGTTTGTGTATTGTTTGGATGGTTTTTCATAATCCAAATTTTGCATCTGAAGTTTTGGCTTTTAAGCTGGAAGGCAACTTCGTAGCAACTTACTTCACTTATTGTCTTGCTTCACACTAATTCTCCCCTCATAAATTTTCCTCGTAACGTAAGCGCGTTGAGTCCAAACAACTTTTTTATTGTTTCCACGTCAAACTTTTTTCTCAAATGTTATATTATTATAATTTTTTTATTAGTCAATGTCTATGTTTGAGACATTGATATCATACACGGTAAAATTTGTTTTATTTTTATTTTTTTAAGTAATATTATATTATGTTTTTCAACCATAAGTTTATTATGCTTTTAAATATTATACTTCACGATATTTTACCTCTTAACTTAACGAAATGGTGTCAATGTTGTATTTATTTTAAAATATTTTATTTTACTCTTATTTTTAATTTAAATAGAATTATTGTAAGATATAACATAATTAATAGTAAATGCACAATATAAAAATATATAAAACAATTAAAAATACTCTCAGAACTTATGGACAAAATATAACATAATTAAAATATAACATATTTTATCAATAAAATAAAATATAGCATAACTTATGGACATACTTATTATTTTATATCTATTAATTATTTTTTAATTTAAAGTTTCACCAAACACTTGTTATATAATATACAAACTTCATAAAAAATATGAGTGGCTAACGTGAAACATTTTAAAAAAAATTGAGTTTTGCATATTATTATTTGAGAAATTGTGAAACATTGTTAGACAAAAGATATATTTTATTTCAAACTAAAGTTAGGTTTAATAAAACTAATTAGAAGTTTAATAGTTGGTAAGAAGTTGAAAGTTGTTACACTTGTTTATTACTTTAGTAAAATTATCTATTAAAATAACTCATAAAAATAAATATTTTAAGATGATGTTTTATATAATTATTTATTTTAATTTATAAAAAATGCTTCTGAGTATTTAAAAATTTAATTTTAATTTTTTGCAATTTTTATTTACATATGAATCAGTTTAATCATATATATTTTTATTTTCAAGTGTTGTATTTTTCATATTGTTTTTTTTTTTTATAATTTAATCTTAAACTATATCTTAAAATATTCCCCATCAAATTTAAAGTAAAGTAAAAATATTACACTTTTAACTATATCTCATACTTCTATGACGTTAATTAATGTAATGGTTACAAATTATCATCTATCAATCTCAATATTTTGAAGTCTACTATCAAAACATTAATTAAAACATTATAATGGATAAAAAATAGTATAGTATAAAAATATAGGAAAACTAACAATTTTCTATATGAAGTAAAAAAAAAATTATATTATAAGTAATAAAAAGGTAATAAATTTCATCCTATATAAAAAAAATTAATAAAATCTTATCATAAGGTATTAATTAACTTCTACGGAAAATATAATTGAAATTTAATCAATAATTTAGAAGATTAAATATGAAGAGTTAGAAAGTAGAATTTTAAAGAATGTTAAGTAGTGTATAATCTAGTGAAAGAAGTTTGTTTACCAACATTATTAATAAATTCAAACAGTTTTTCAGCAGAGAGTTTCATAGTGGGGTAACTTATTTTTTTACTAGGAATCATAAACATGCAAGAGTCTACAACAAAATATTCTGAGCTACCATTATGGCACATGATTTCTGTTACAGGAAACAAGGCTTTGAAGGTCAGTGGTAACCATCTGGTTTTTAGAAGATGTTCAGTTCCTTCATCAATTAGGTAGTGTCATAAATAGGCAGGGTATACGAATTTTTGTAAAAGAAAGGGAAGAACCAACATATCAGCTTTAGAAATTAATAAGCACACAGATAGGTAAGTTTTCCATATATTAGCTGCTAATAAAGATCATTCAAGTCTTTCACAAACTGATTATAATTTTAATGAACAGTAAACCTTGCATCTAGCTAGATTTATCAAATTATTAATGTCATTAACTGTTTAGTTCACCACTATTGACAGCATAGTCGTGTAATATCTGCAATTCACTATGTGAATGATGGGTAGACATGTGCCTTATTTTCTGGTTCTGCAAGGTACAAATTTGATAGATCCCAACATAAAACGTAGCTTATTATTTATTCATTCTCTATAAGTACACAACAAACCTTTTTATCAGATTGATGCCACTTCACCTCGAGAAAAGAAGAGACCAGAAGGACCTCCATTAGGTAGCAGAGCCAACCTTACAACACGTTCAGCACCTTCATCAACACTAAAATAACCAGTATTGTAGTTGAGATCTGTTTTTACAAACCCAGGGCAAACAGCATTGATGCAGAAAGATGGGTACTTCTTTGCCAGAACCCTTGTGTAGGCAGTCAAAGCAGCTTTTGAGAGTATATATGAGGAAAGAGTACGAGGCCACCCTTTGGTTTCTATGGAACCCTCTTTAAAACTTTCTAGAAACTGTTTCAAAACTTCATCCACCTTTTCTTCTGCTAAGCTGTCAACATCACTTAGGACTCCTCTAGCCCATTCATTTGGTATTCTCTGCATCAGCATGGACAACAATATCAAATACATCATAATGATCGAAGAAACACTACATAGTAAAAGTTGGCTTGTATGGCTGTCATTCAAGACACGTTAACAAGTTCATGCATAATAGTTAATTACATACCTCCAACTGTCCCATGATGGAGGAAACATTAACAATCCTTGGTGAGTCTGACAATTCTAGAAGGGGAATAAGTGCTTCACACATTAATTTGACTCCGTAGTAATTTGTTCTGATGGTTGCTTCTGCAGATTCATAAGTTTCATGTGTGAATTTTCTCCAATCCACACTGTCAATTTTTTCCTGCGGTTAGAAGAAAGTTAACCTCTTTACTACGGCAAATAAGTATATATATCTTCAAATAAAACAAAAACCAATGCTCTTTACGATTAATCTGTCCTTTACAAGAACAAGGATTAAGTTCTACCCAAAGAAATTTGAAAATAATAAAAATGTTAATCCAGTTATTTCTTGGAGAAATAAGTGTTTTTAACAGACTTGACATAGAAACATGGATGAGAGAATATCATTGACCAAAGGAAAAGAAGAGGGGGTTGGAGCTACAAATTTTGAGATGGTATCAAAATTTCTCCAAAATTATTGTTGGTGGGCTGATCAGGCCAGCTGCTATCCGTCGTTATTAGACCACTTGTAGTTTTTAGAACAAATTTCATGCTCAAAATGTCTAGTCTTTAATATGAAGGGAGTTTGTCGGAGATCTCACAGTAGCTAGTAATATGATCAAATAAAAATGGAGAACAATCCTCACCTCTTAAGCTAGCTTTAGGGTTAAGTCCAATTCCAAATTCTAAGAGTGAGTATATGTTGCAGTTAGGAAACTTAAGTTAGATTGTGCCCATCATCGTGCTTAAAAGACCTACCATTATTAATCTTCTCTTTACTAATGTTAGATTGTGCTAAATTTGTCTCCTTTTCTAACCCAGTAATGTAGAATGTTAGGCATATTATCACCTATGCAAACTAAAAAGCTGCAGACAATACATCAAGAAAACCATTCCCAAACTAGATCAATGTCATGAATAAAAAATCAGTAAGGTAGAAGAGGAAACAAATTCAAAGGAGAGAGGAAAGAGAGTTAATTCACGTCCCAAGATAATAATTAACTCGTGCCTCAAGAATACATTGGAAGGTATATAACTTTTCAGTTATAGGAAAAGAATAAGGATGGTTGTTTTTCGAATCTTCTTCCTATGGTTCCTTATTTGTCATTAGCTTAGTTCGCTGCATTACAATCAACAGATGAAGTATGTCCTAATCTTTCAATTGTTGGGAAAAATATGCTGAATCTTCTCATATGGTCAGATCTGTGAAAGTGAAATAAAAGCGGAATAATTGCACACACAAGTTGATAACGGAGTTCGGCCAATAATGCCTACGTCTCCGGACTACTACAGATCTCTTTTTAGGAGAAAAGAAAATACACAAGTGTTTACAAAACACTCCCAAAACACTCACAACTCATAACCCAATTACACTCAGAAGCTAAACTAAAACTCTCTAGTTTTTCTGCCTCTCACTGGTGCCACTCTTTTCTTCTCTAAGAGAAGTAATATTTTGTGTGGGATGGGATGATTTTACTTGCAGGAAGAAGACCAATTTATAGCAAAAATTGGTACTGTGCGTTGCAATAAAATATGCCTCGTGCACCTCATGCTTGCATAAAAAATTTGGCAGTAAGAATTGAAAAATTTGGCAGCCACTTTCTTTGACCAACAATCTCCCACTTGAGGACCGATTTCAATCTGTCCTCACACCTTGATCAATAGTAGTCTTCTCTTGTCTGTTATCCTTGTAAGCTAACTGAAGTTGAGCACAACTTCAGTTTGTCAATAGTCACCATCTTTGTTAGCATATCTGCTGGGTTCTTACTTCCCACAATTTTCTTCAATGTTAGCATCTCATCCTCAAGTAGAGATCTGATGAAATGATAACGTATGTCGATGTGTTTGGTTCCAGAGTGAAATGCTGAATTTTTTGCCGAGATGTATTGCACTACGACTATCACTGTGCAAAACACTCCTTTCTTGAATGAATCCCAACTCGCCAACAATCCTTGAAGCCATATCAATTCTTTACTGGCTTCATCACTGCTACATACTCGGCCTCCGTAGTGGATAAAGCAACAATCTTACGTATCCGCGACATCCAACTAACAGTTGTAGTTCCAACAGTAAACACATACCCGAGTGGTGCTTCTTCGGTGATCAACTTCACCTCCAAAGTCTGCATCTACGTAGCCCTGCAATTTTAGATCTCCTTTTCTAAAATACGAGACATTTTTCGTTGTGCCTCGTAGATACCTTAGAATCCATTTGATCGCTTCCCAATGAGCTTTTCCTGGATTTGTCATGAATGCTGCTTACAACTCCCATTGCATGGCCAATGTCGGCCTCGTACGGACCATCGCGTACATCAAACTTCCAATGGCTGAAGCATACGGAATCTTAGCCATTAACTCTTCTTCTTCCTTTGTTTGAGGAGACTGATCCTTGGATAGACGAAAATGGCAAGCCAAAGGTGTATTGAGCTGGTTTGGCATTGTCCATGTTAAATCTCTGCAAAACACGGTTGATGTACTCCGCTTGAGATAAGCTGCAAAACTCCTTTTTGCTTATCTCTCGTGATTTGCATTCCAAGAATCTTCTTTGCTTGGGCCTAAGTCCTTCATGTCAAATTCTTTTGACAAGCTTGCTTCTTTAAGTTTATGATCTCATTCATATCTAAACCTGCTACTAGCATATCATCGACATAAAGTAGCAAAATGATATAAGCTGGACTTATACCTCTTGAAGAAACAACGGTGATCGGCGTTGCACTTCGAAAACTCTCCTTGTGCATGAAGCTTTCGAACTTCTTATACCACTTGTCTTGGAGCTTGTTTCGAGGCCATACAAGCTCTTTTTCAATCTGCACACCAAGTTCTTCTTTCCTTCGAAAAACCTTCGGCTGGTGCATGTAGATCTCCTCATCTAAATCTCCATGAAGAAATGCGGTCTTCACATCTAATTGCTCTAGGTAGAGCTCCTCACTAGCCACAATACTTAACACGATCCTGATAGTATTGAGCTTTACAAGCTGGAGCAAAGATTTCGGTGTAGTCGACTCCTTCTTTCTGCTGAAATCCTTTGACGACCGATCGAGCTTTGTATCTCTTAGAACCATCATGGTCTTCCTTCACTCGATACACCCATTTGTTGTGAAGTGCTTTCTTTCCCATAGGTAACTTGACTAGTTCCCATGTCGATTTGAGATTAAAGACTTCATCTCGTCTTTCATGGCAAGCTCCCACTTGCTAGCATCCAGTGGCTTGACAAGCTTCAGTATAATCTTCGGGCTCCCTCCATCGATCAACAACATGTAGTCCATGTATCTCCTGTTAGGCACATGAGGCCGAGAAGACCTTCTCAATACGGGAGTTGGAGTAGGAGGTTCAGCTTGCACATCAAGTTCTTCAACTGATTCCTCCGGTCGAGGACTCCTCATTATAGGACTTTCTAGGATATCTTCCACCTCTGCATAAAGCTGGCCCACTCGCTTCGAGTTGCTGGCACTTGTATTATGCCTGTCCTTGTACATCACTCTTTCATTGAAGATTACGTCTCTGCTGCGGATCATCTTTTTGTTTTCATCGTCCCATATGCGGTAGCCAAACTCATATTCACCATAACCAAGGAAAGTACATTTCTTTGATTTTGGATCAAGTTTGTTTACGCCTTGATCAGCGATATGCACATATGCTACACGACCAAAAACTCTAAGATGTGAGAGTTTTACCTCTTTTCCGCTCCATACCTCTTCGGTATCTTGTGCTCCAATGGTACCGATGGACTTCGGTTGATCAAGTAAGCTGCTATGTTGATTGCTTCGCCCAAAGCTGCTTTGGTAAGCCTGATCTGCACACGCATGCTTCGGCCCTTTCGATCAACGTTCGATTCATACGCTCAGCTACACCATTGTGTTGAGGCGTACCCGACACGGTTATCTCCATTCGATTCCGTGCTCATAGCAAAACTTCTTGAATCTGGTGTCTACATATTCACCACCATTGTCGGATCCGAGCTTCTTAATCTTCAATCCTGTCTCATTTTCCACCATAGCTTTCCAAATCTTGAAAGCTTCAAATACTTCGACTTATATTTCGGAAAGTAAACACATACCTTTACGGAGTGATCATCAATGAAAGTCACGAAGTAATGCTTCCCACCAACGGATGGAACATTCGTTGGACCCCAAACATCGAGTGGATGAGCTCAAGCTTCTCTTTCTTTGGGGTTCTTTTACTTGTCCGAAAGTTGACTCTCTTACGCTTTCCAAGTATGCGGTCTTCACACATGTCAATATCTACCGGTCGAAGACACTGGTAATTTTCCTCTCGAGTGCATGACCTTCATTCCTTTCTCACTCATATGTCCAAGTCTTTGGTGCCATATGTTGGAATTTTCATTTGTTGCAACTGCAATCAAATGACATGCTCCTGCAGTCTTGTAGAGAGTTCCACTCTTTTTGCCTCGAGCAATCGTCATCGCACCTTTTGAGATCTTCCATTCATCACCGTGGAAGATTGTCGTATAGCCTTCACTAGCTAACTGACCTACTGAGATTAAGCTCTTTGTCAGGTCGGGAATATGTCTGACATTTTTCAATTCCCATACAGACCCATTCAGCTTAATCCTTACTGCACCTTTGCCTACAATCTCACATGACTGTTCATTACCAAGGTAAACCTTACCAAGGTTTCCGGGAACATAATTCTCCAACAGTTCCTTCTGTGAGGTAGCATGAAAAGATGCTCCGGAGTCTAACACCCAAGACTCCTCCCTGCCTTCAAGGGAGCATATCAATGCCTCATCTTTTCCTGAGGTGGAGGCAACGTTTGCTTCGTCCTTTGCTCCTTGATTCTTCCGTGCACTCTTGCACTGGTTTCTGAAGTGTCCGGTCTTCCCACAATTCCAACACTCGATCGACTTTGAGTTGTGGGAACTACGATGATTTCTAGACTTGGACCGCCTGTCCTTTGATTTTCCATGTCTAATTTCTTTGGTTGAACTTCTTCCTCTTGACTCTGTATGCAATACTGAAGAGGTTGATGCTTCACCCGACTCTCTCCGCCGGATCTCTTCGCTGAGAACCAAATTTTGAACATCATTAAATCTTAACTTATTGTTTCCCGATGAGCTACTCACAGCTGTGACCGTAGCATTCCAACTCTCTGGTAGGGAAGACAAAAGTATTAAAGCTTGTACTTCATCATCGAATTTGATGTCAATAGAACTTAATTGGGTTGTTACAGTGTTGAGTTCATTGAGATGATTTGCCACCGAAGCACCTTCAGACATCCGCAGGTTGAACAATCGCCTCATCAAGTGAACTTTGTTTGAGGCTGATGGTTTCTCGTACATGTTGGAAAGAGCCTTCATGAGATCTGAGGTCGTCTTTTCTTTCACAATGTTAAAAGCAACATTACGGGATAATGTTAGACGAATAACTCCAAGAGCCTGTCTATCAAGGAGACTCCATTCTTCCTCTTTCATGGTTTCTGGCTTCTCCCCTGTGAGTGGTTGATGCATCTTCTTCTGATACGAGATAATCCTCTATCTGCATCTTCCAGAAGCCAAAGTCACGTACCGTCGAACCTTTCGATTTTCATTTTTCCTTCGTCTGCGACCATCACTCCAACTCGATCCGACTTATCTGTCTGGATCGTTTCGACAATTTACGTGAGCTACCGTGTTTCGGAACACGATTGCGGGCAAATTTGTAACGCAGACAAAATTTGCACTATTCACGTTTTCACTATTCATGGAATAGTAACTTACTATTCATATGAATAGTAACACCACAAAAATTACGGAACTAACAACCAGCTCGATACCGGTTGTTGGGAAAAATATGCTTGAATCTTCTCATATGGTCAGATCTGTGAAAGTGAAATAAAAGCGGAATAATTGCACACACAAGTTGATAACGGAGTTCGGCCAATAATGCCTACGTCTCCGGACTACTACAGATCTCTTTTTAGGAGAAAAGAAAATACACAAGTGTTTACAAAACACTCCCAAAACACTCACAACTCACAACCCAATTACACCCAGAAGCTAAACTAAAACTCTCTAGTTTTTCTGCCTCTCACTGGTGCCACTCTTTTCTTCTCTAAGAGAAGTAATATTTTGTGTGGGATGGGATGATTTTACTTGCAGGAAGAAGACCAATTTATAGCAAAAATTGGTACTGTGCGTTGCAATAAAATATGTCTCGTGCACCTCATGCTTGCATAAAAAATTTGGCAGTAAGAATTGAAAAATTTGGCAGCCACTTTCTTTGACCAACATCAATCAAATTAAATTACTATAAATTAACGTTTCTTAGTGAACTTTCAGCTTTCTCTGGTTAGCAGATGAACGAAATATTGTATATGGCTTGGAATGCATACCCCTGCAGCAGCTAAAGCATCACGGTCGACAGTAGCTCCATTGATTCCTGCATTATTCACCTAAGCAGAATTCAAACATTAATCATCATTCTCAAATTTCAAATAGGTCTGTGTATATGATAATGGGAAGAAAAATGGTTTATAACACAGCAGAACAGTAAGATCCAACCACTGTAAGAGTTAGTACCAGACAACTGCATGCTATTTAAAAGTTTCAATTATGGATGAAGTCATGAAACACAATGAACTTCAAAAAATAAGAATTTGGATCATCCCCTGTTCTTAAACAACATAAATGGCCTTATGGGAAAAGAAAAGACACAATTTTTGTCTTACTAGAAACTAGCATGATTGGTTACAAGGTCTATTAATAGTATAACAAAACAAAAAGGTGTGACCATTCCAGATAAGAGGAGCTTTATAGCACCAAAATAGGGTAGCGAGAAAGGCCACCTAGTAAAAGATTGAACCTTTCATGTCATCATTTTCAAATCCAAGTCTTAAGGATGGGCCGTGCTAATTGAGCAAAAATATGCCTCTTCTATCCCTTTTTTACAAATTAAACATATTAGTTCATATATTAATCGTCATCTTGTGATAGTGTTCTCTTTCTAAAGGACAGGACAAGATATGTGTGTGCCTGGTGCTTCTGCTGGGATCAACAAGATAAAGGAAGTGGAAACCTAACATAATAACATGCTAAAACTTAATCATACCAAGATATCAAGTTTCCCAAACTGGGTTTTGATGAAATTTGCAAAGGATTCGATGCTTTTAGGGTCAGTCACATCAAGCTGATGAAATACCACTTTGTCAGGCACACCAAACTCTTTCAGTTTTTCAACAGCATCAACACCCCTTTTCTCATCCCTTGCTGTTAGCACCACAGTGATACCATCAGAAACCAATTGCTTGCAAATCCCAAATCCTATCCCTTTGTTTGCTCCTGTGACAACTGCATACCTGTAACATAAATCAATCCATCAAAATCAAGAAAAAGTAAGCACTTAAAAGTCTTTTACTCTATCATTGATTAAAATTTGTGCCATATAATATGGATGATGAGACTTGAAGAAACATGTACCTTACTGTTGTTGCTGCCATCGTTTATGCAAGAAAATTTTGTGAGTTTTTGGAAATCAGACACCAGTGCTAAGAAGTGAGTTCAATAGCTGTTTTTTTTTTCTTCCAGTCATATGTAGATTTTTCAATGTTTTCTATCAACTTCTGGATGGAAAGTACTTTCTTACTTTGACATTTGGCTAAGTCAAACAAAAGTAATGGTTGATTAATATATTTATTATTTTTTATAAAATAAATATATTTTCCTTTTTTTTAATTTTATCTATCATCATTGATTTTAATGTTAATTTAGTGTCACTTTTCAAAGTTTGAATTGATGTTTTCTTTTCTATTGTCATTAAAAAATATAATATAATATTAACATACTTATTTATTATAAAATATTAATATCATATTAAATAATATATATATATATAACTTATTTATGTCAATATCACATATGATATGAATATAATATTTAATTCGTTATTAAATATAATTATATTAAATCATAGTATATTTATCTATTAAATAATTTAATAGAAAAAGAATATAATTTTATTTTTAATTTTATTCATATATTATATATATTATATCATTCTTTTATTTAGGTTTATTTATTCTTCTGATTTCATTCTTTTAGTTTTTCAGTGTACGTGGGGAGCGTTGGACAATTAGATTGGTTAATTTTGAAGGGCTAGGGTTTTTGGCTTCTCTCGCGTTACTTGTCTTCTTATTTTCCCATTTCTGTTTCCAAAAGCATCTGACGAACAGAAGAGAGAAGAGAGAGAGAGAGAGGATCGCTGTTTCAAGTCAATTCATTCATCTCAGGTACGCCGGTCTATCCATTCTTCAAGTATTCACTCTCATTATCACAACACAATACTGTACCTTAATTTTTTTTTTTTTTTACATTATTATGTTTTGTTAATCTCGGTTACGTAGCTTTTTCATTCACCCTGTTGATGTAAAATTCAACAGGTTTGATTTGAGACTGAACTAAAGAGGGTTAATTGGAATTTTGAGAGAGAATTAACAGCTCACTCCTTTTTTACTACGTTCTCTAAACTTCCTAGAGGTGTTTGTGGAAATGCTTCACTGAGGAGGGAATTTGGGTAACTCTGTATAATTGACTCAAGTTATTCTGTTTTTACTTGGCAGGTTTTTGAAGTTGAGATAAAATGAGTGGAACAGAGAAAGGAGGATCAGGAACCACAAAAACCCCTGCTGATTTCCTCAAATCCATTCGGGGAAGGCCGGTTGTCGTCAAGCTCAATTCCGGTGTTGATTACCGAGGTTTCTCTCTTTACTTACTACATTTTTTCTTCCTCACTAAATCTGCACATCAATATTGTTTATTAAATGTCGATAAAGAGTTAAAGACTGTTAATGCCGACATTTTTTGGTTTTTGTTATATTTTTATATTGGGAGGGTTTGGGTCTGTTTCCTTGTGCAAGTCCTTTTTGTCTGACGATTCTTTAAATTTTGGTGAATTAATGGGTATAGCTGGTCTGGATGATGTGTTGAGACGTTAATGCTTGGTCCATATTTCTTGTCACAGATTTTTTTTGCTTTGTTAATAGAAAACCTGATAATTGGTTGATTGGATGAGAAAAAAAATTCGTTATTTAATCTAATGATAATTAGTGTTGGATTTTAGTTTCCGATATTGATTTAGACTTCTGGGCAACCTGTATTTGAGCTCTGCCCAAAATTGTTCGAAACTTGGGGTAATAAGGATAGCATATCAATGCTGGGTGCTTATTTTCTTATAGACGCCTTTTCTACTCATGCTTTAAGATAATAGTTTGACTTTATAATATGATTCTGAGAGTATTTGAAAAGGAATTGAGGATTAAAGTGACCACACGAGGGGAGCAGTTCAAATTATGACCTTCAATTTTTATTAAAAATTGTTTGATGGCCTTACACTATGAATTTTCATATTGGTGCTCATGTCTACTGTTTAGTTTTGTAACTAATATGTTATGCTTCTCTGTATGCATGAAGTAGGTTAACTCCTTTTGGCTAATCTTGCAGGTATACTTGCTTGTCTGGATGGCTATATGAATATTGCAATGGAGCAGACAGAGGAATATGTCAATGGACAACTGAAGAATAAGTATGGTGACGCTTTCATCCGAGGGAATAATGGTACTAATGTTTCAAATACAATGTTATATATATTTGGAAAATTGAGATATCATTCTTTATTCACTTGATTGAAGAAATAATTGGGAAATTTCTTTTATTTGATGCAGTTCTATATATCAGTACCTCAAAGAGGACTCTAGCGGAGGGGGCGTAGACAGTATAGGAATCTTAATGTTTTTTATGTTTGGATTTTTTAAAGACTGCCTTGATATTAAAACTCTTGCCTATTGTAAACTAATTTGCCTTGGTTATATATGTAAGGCAAAGCAATATGGCCAGTTTGTAAAATGCATGTTGACATATTTTGCTAGAATATTTTAGCCTGTTTTGAATGTTCAAAATTGTAATACAAACTGTTATCAGTTTAATGTTTTTTTTTTTTTTAAATGACCTGTTATATATATATATCTACCTGTGTAAATCTTCATTGGGGAGTTCTTGTCTGAGTCGGATGGCTCAACTTTGTCCCAACATAATTTGCAGGGGTGTCAAACTGTCGATATGATCTGAACTCTAAAGTTCACTACCCTCACCTTTTGATATATCCACTAAGTTTAGGCCCCTCATACCAATGGTTATATTTTAGTTTTAATGTAGGTTGAAATTGTAAATGAGTAGATGGTTGTAGATTCGCAAGGGTACTCATTGACAGCGATTGTCCGGTTTGATTTGATTGAGCACAAACTCTTTGATGAATTGTCATAAATAAGTTTTGTCGCTTTGTTTGACCAATTAAAATTTGTAAAGGTTACAAATAAATACAGAGAACAATTTTAAAGTTCAAAATTTGAAAAAAAAAAAAAACTATTGCATATACTGAAGGGGACTTTTGGTCTATCTTTTCTTTAGCTTATTTACCGTTTTCTTTTTGAATGATAAAAGAAAATACGGAACATTAAGGCTGACTTCTAATTTGAAGTGTTTTCTAAATCTAACTCGAATTAGCAGTGTAACAAATGACGTTTCTTTCTCCTGAAAATTACTTGAAAATGAAAACAAGAAATTAAGTGCACTGGCACGTTTCTATCAATTTTGTCCATTAAAATTTTAAAATTATAATTTTAGCTATAAAATAAAAAATTTTGCTTTGCTCCGTAATATTTATGGACTTACATATATTAATTGTCAAATCAGTAGTCAATAAATATTACGAGTGTTTAGTTTTCTTTCTCACTTTCGTATAATATTTTTATTAAAAATGATCAAACATCAATTTTTTTTTTCATTTGCATATGATCTTAAAAATAATATTACATTTACGACTATTGAAAATCTTTTAATTATAAACTTAAATTAAAACAAACCTACACACTAACAAGTGGGTACATATGCAGGTTAACTTATATTCATTCGTATAGAACACAACAAACACTACTTAGTCTAGCTGATGATGAAAAAAAAAATATTAGGCTAATGTTTGGCAGAACATGGCATAGTTATTTTATATTATGAATGTGAGCGAGTTGGGTTCATTCTTCCTACCCAAATTCAATCAAGACGTTTCTATGCTAGCTTTCATATATGTGAGGCTAAACAGTTTTTCTGGATTTCATCTTTCAAAATTTCTTAAAGTAGGAATAGTTCTTTTCATGTACTTCCACTATGCCAAGCGCTTAAATGAGAAGATAAATGTCCAACTTGCAAGATAATTTCATATTGTGGATAAAAATGTTGGTGGTTTTCTCCAAACCCAGGTGCCAAATATAATGAAATGGGTCAGACTGTACAAATTTCGTAGTCGTGGTGGCACATTGGCGCAAGTGGGGACGTGGATGCCTATTTTATTAACCCTGAGTACATTTATTACAATTTTATATTTTGTAAAATGAAAACACACATTGCATGCGTTTACATTTATGTAACATAATTAAAAAAAAACTGATACCATATCATAAAAATACTTATTAGCACAGTAGAAATAAAATTATACAATAAAATATACACATAAAAAAGTTATAAGTTACATATTAGTAGTTATTATACATCAACAAATAGTTCATCTAGGTTCCTAAAACCATGAAAGTCCATAGAATATGACAAATTAGAAATTTGACCAAGCTAATTTGAAAATCAAGGTTTTAACTAGCTAGTTTTCCTCCACAATTATGAATCCACTATGGAAAAGAAAGAAATTATTTCATTGATTTGAATGAAAAGAGCAGAAATATCCTCTTCTATAAGGATTTCTCCTTTCATAACTAGTAAATACTCATTCTACAAAATAAGCAAAACAGAATGATGCCCCTAACTGTTATTAACTAATATTCTCTTCCAAACTCTTAATAATGACAGAAATATGAGGGTAAGAACAAAATGAGGAAGAGTGATTCTCTGGTGTTTGTTCTTGTATCTGCATGATTGCATGCATTTTAGATCATTCAAAAGTTTGACAGTTCTTGCCTACTATAGAAGAGGCCAGAAGGGGAACCATTAGGAAGCAATGCTAATCTCACAACACTAGCAGCACCTTGATCAACAGATAAGAAGCCAGTGTTTCTGTTTATGTCTGTTTTCACAAAACCAGGACACACACAATTGATGCAAAAGTTTGGATACTTCTTGGCCACAATCCTTGTGTATGAATTCATGGCTGCTTTTGAGACCATATAGGCAGACAAGAAGGTTGGCCAACCTTTGTTTCCTAATGAACCGTCTTTCAAGTCTTTGATAAACTCTTTCAGTACCTCATCTATTCTATCTTCTGTAAGATTTTCAGCATCATCAAACACCCCTTTAGCCAATTTATTTGTTATCCCCTGAAACATCACCACAACACCACTTTTCCAATGTTTAGTTTTGAGACCTGAAGTAAAATCATGTTTGGAGAGAAAAATTAAGGCACTCTTGTACCTTTAACAACCCTGCTTGGGAGGAAACATTGACAATCCTAGGTGAGTTGGATAATTTCAAAAGGGGAAGAAATGCCTCAGTAGTTTCCTTTGCACCATAGTAGTTTGTTCTCAGACACTTTTCTGCCATCTCATAAGTTTGAGTAAGTTCCTTCCAGTTAATATTTGATCCTTCCTGCATGTATGTAGAAGAAACTCAGCTTCAATATAGCTATACATACACCATGAACCCCTTACATTAGACAAAAGAATACACACTGACCATTTCATATGGATTCACACCACTGATTCCTGCATTGTTCACCTACACAAGAACGTGGGATTTTTGGAAGCTCAAAGTGATTCATTCATATAAAGTTAAAGGGAAACAAAGAAGATGATCCTTTTTTTTTTTTCGTGGTTTTGTGTATAGTCATGAGTAATTATAAATGTTGATAAACATAAGAGAAATTGTTAAGAAACAAATATAGAATTGAGTACTTGAGAATGCATTATTCATCGTTATTTTACGATACTATCTTACATTTATAACAATATATTGAGGGATTAATTATTTTTTGTGTCATCGAAGTAAATATATATATATATATATATATATATATATATATATATATATATATATATTTATGCTATATCTTATTCTTTTACTCTTTTTTTCAATCACACGTTTTCCTTGTTTTAAAATAATAAATAAAATATAATTTTTTCTTAATTCTACACATTTTCTTCAAAATATCTCTTTTCTTGAATGTTCTTAGATTTATTTGTCTCAATAATTCATAATTTTAAGAATAAATACTTATATTTAAAATATATATATATATATATATATTATTTTAATAAATTAAAATAAAATAATAAAAATACAAATATACAAATTTGATTAATATAAAAGATAAGGAAATAATTATTTGATAACCTAAATAACTAATAAACAATCTAAAATAATATTATTTCCAAAATTACACTTTACTTTGTTATTTTGGTTTCAAACAATATTTTTATCAGAACTATGTACAAAACTATTGATTTATGCATACTTAAAATAATGGATGCATGTTACTTAGAAAAACCAAGTGGTGACTCGCGCCAAGATTACCTAACTTTTAGTTTTGGGGTTATCACGATTTTTATTCGATTTCTCTTTTCTGCAAGAGATTAGTTCTTGCAATTTTGTTCATACCCTTTGTGTTAACCTTCCATGAATGTTTCGTTAACGGTAATATTTTACTTACTTTTTTATCGTTTAAATTATCACCACTTTTTCAGTTGATTTCTCTATATATCTTGAGTTCTCTATTTGATCATCCTCCATCTAGTAGAGCCACGTAAGTATTTTTAACACGCATTTTACATTGCAACTTTTTTGAAAAAGGGAGAGAAAAACTCAGTGAGAAACCAAAAGTCATGTTTAAGTCAAGTCAAGTCAAGTCACAATTCATAACTCTACGTTTTAATCATGTAATAATTTCTGAAAAAAGATATTGAAAATGAATTCCAATATGCAGCATGCCTTCTTACCAAGATATCAAGTCTCCCAAACTGTATCTTGACAAAGTCTACCAGTGAACCAATACTAGCAGAGTGAGTGACATCAAGTTGGTGAAAAACCACCAACTCAGAGAGACCACACTTTTTCAACCTCTCAGTGGCTTCATGGCCTCTTTTCTCATCTCTGGCAGTGAGCACCACCTTCACTCCATTTGAGGCCAACTGCTCAACAGTCTCCAATCCTATCCCTTTGTTTGCCCCAGTAACAACAGCATACCTGAAATTCCACCATATGCTACAAATCATGCTAACACATACAAAGAACATGGAAAATGAATCGTTGCATGTGGACAATGTTGTGTCATTCTATGAAGAGACCATATGAAGTGGTGAAATGCTACAAAGTACTAACCTTTGTTTTGACTCTGTCATAGATGCTGCAACTTGATGAACTGCTTAAGGAGAGAGATGAATATGCATACAAAAAGTAGAGGTGTAGTTTTTTCCAAAAGATAAAGAAAGAAATGGCGGCTAGTCAAATGGGTTAGTTGTGCTGTTACTTGTTATACTGCAGTTGTTGTTGTTTATTCCACATCATGATTCTTCTATATATGAAAAAAATTGTTAGTGTTTGTTGCACAGTGATACATGATGAAATGTAATACTACATGGTATTAATAACTGGAGTGGCCACAACATGTGAAGAAAGAGACAATGCAAAAATCCAAAGAATGTTTCACCTAATCTAGAGTAAAGTGTACTATGGACATTCTCATGTTGTCACTCTCGCAAGGCGTAACCATTTTTTCTTCCT